CACACACACACATTGTCTATCTCTTGCGGATTCTCAGCAACCACACAAGCACTCAGCCCGACGACGTGGAGAATGTGCGGTGGGGCGTTGGCAGGCAACATCGAAGCAAAGGTAAAGGTGCAAGTAGGGGACATCTGGTATGGGGTATAGGGCATTCGTTCACTGTTTTCTAAACGTCAAACATGATAGTGAATCCACACGTAGAACATGGAAAGATACATTGTCAGGCGGTATGCATTATCGACCATGGTCACACCGGGTTTGGGATGATGGCGACAGTATAAAACCTAGACTGCCACGTACGAGGACAACAGCAAAGGTGGAGGCGGGAACTGACGGCCATGGCCACGCAGCATTCGCACGGAGCAGTACACACGCGGTGACTGTACGAAAACCCAAAAAAACAAACGGGAAAAAAAAAGAAAAAAAAAAGCCTAACATGAATCTGTACGGAACAGTAATCGTTTTGGCGGCAGTATCTATCTATCTATCTCTATCTCTCTCTTTCTATGTCTATTTATGTGCCAATGAATCACGCAATTCTATTGACTGCTTGGTTGATTGGATTTTTTTTTTTTTTTCAATTAAACAATCAATCAAGCGATTGATCAATTAATCGATTGATCGATCAATCAATAAGTCAATCAATCATTTTTGCTTTCTCTGTCCCTGTTTTCTCTCTCTCTCTCTTTCTCTCTCTCTCTCTCTCTCTCTCTCTCTCTCTCTCTCTCTCTCTCTCTCCCCCTCCCTCCCTCTCTCTCTCTCTTCTTCGCCTTTCGATCAATCAATCAATTTGATCGATTAATTGGTTGATTTCTTTTTCATGGTGGTCTCCGCAGGTGGACAAGCATCTACTCAAATGAATGTGGTGGTCGACAGGCAGGTAGATAGGCCGGTTGAAGGAATATCATGGTCCAATGTGCCGATGCAAATTGAGGCACATAGTGATGCGGATGGTGTATTCGGAAATTGGCTCGCCGATGCTCGCACAAAAACGAAATACCTTGAGGAATGTAGTGAACGATACGAGTATGGCATGGATTCGTGGATTCATGACATGGAGCAGCGTCTGCTTCGGCGTGAGTCTAAAGTGCCTTATGGTATTGCGGGTAAGGTTCCAAACGATTTCACATTGAAAAGAGAATGCGACCGCTATATGAGAGACAATGAAGGTCTTCGGTGGACTCAGGACAAGTTGCTTGGGATGTTGAAGAAGGAGGCGGAAGTGACTGCCCTGAGGAGTGCATTCGCAAAAATTGAGGTGAATGCACGATCAGTGCTTGAAAGTTGCCTGGAAAGGAAACGAAGTGAAGAGGTGAGAGATTGCTCTTTGTCCGGTAGTGTGGATGCTGCGAAGGAGGATGATGTTGGCGAGGACCTACGCAGCACCGTGTTCGCGTTCGGAGGCAAACGCGAACAAGCGCCGAAACCCCTCCGAACGCAAACATAAAAAATATATATAAAAAAAAAACAAAAACAAATCTCAGAAAAATCTGAAACAAATATATGTTATGTAAAATAATAAGACAAGCAACTTTTGCCTTAGAGTCATATTCAAATTCGTAGCCAATCATGAGTTAAAATTCAAAAATCGAAAAAAAAAATATATATATACGTATATATGTATATTTTTACGAAAAAAAAATATGTTCGCCCGAACATGTTTGCGAGCTGTTCACTCGAACGCGCGAACACGTTCACGCGAACATGAAGGGGCGCGAACACGTTTGCCGTGCTACGCAGGCGAGGACATTGCCAGCCAGCTTAGGTCTTTAATTCAATCCTCCATTAAAAATGACTTGCTTAACCAAGTTGCTGAGCTTAGTACTAAAGTTGATCCGCATGTGTCCAAAGAGTGTGAGTATTTGCATCTACGTTGTAAAACAACCGGGAGTGGATTGAGAAAATTGTTGTTGGCGGGTGCCTTGCCATCGATTGATCCTTCTTTTGCATCAGAGGTGTTTGAGTTTTCTGTCGCTTTTAACCACTCGACCACTCTGCCGAAGAATTCAGCATCCTACAGGATTTGAACCTGTGACCTTCAACTTAGAAGGTTGTTGCTCTATCCAGTTGAGCTAAGAATGCAACTCACCCAAAAGAGTCAACGCAACCGCCACAACAAAACAAGCAGCTTATTTTATTTATGTAAGCGCTCATCCACGCGTCCCCCCGGACGCGGGGGTGGGGTTAGTGTCTTATTGGCCGCCTGACCTGACGGTTGGTTGCCTTTAATTCAAAACATTTAGGTGGAACTTTAGAAGAGCTTCCAAAAAGCTGTTTGATTGCTATGTTGCAATCATTACGAACAGTTGGTGTGAAGCTTGCACATAGAAATGCGTTGTCGAGCGCATCGGTCCGGCACCGCACGAGGCAGCGCAGGACCCTCCCGACCGCGTCATGCAGGAGTTGGTTTTAAATCCTTCGTCGCAAATATACATGGAGTTTCCGCAAGCCGCTCCGGCCGAGTGTGCCTGCCATACCTCTCGCGAGCCCCTACGACAGGATAGGGCCTACTATCTCCACCTAACGGGAGTTGTCACCTCCCTTCGGTGGGCGTGTCCCCGCCGAGCTACCAGTCCACAGTACGGAAGTTGACCAGTTGCAATCGCAGAGGTGGACCAGCTGAGGGCGTTTCTCGTTCGTTGTAGCATAGGGGGTACGCGCGGTAATACGCCTATCGGACCCGCACGCGAACCGTCATCTTGGGGGGTTGAAGTCCCAAGCACGGCTCGTCGTCTGTCGACGAGGACGCATCCCACACACCACGCGCACACCACTTTACGAACACAAAAATAAAACACACACACACAGACACATCAAACAACGCGACAACACTCCTAGTCCCTTTAGTAGCCATCCCATAACTCTCCGATGCGGAAATCGGATAGGCGTCGCGCGTGAGGCTTAGTATAAAACCGCGTGGCCGTAGGGCTAACTCATATCGACTCGCAATGCAAACGTACGCAAGTAGTCACAATGATGGCGTACTATGTAGTGCCCATAATCAAGCGGTCTCTCGTGGATCTGAGTATCGCTTAGGACACTCAAGTGTCAGACTCGAAGTGTCGTGAGGGTCTACTCCCTCACGACATTGCACGGCTGAAGGAATAGTCGTGCAGCCGCCGCGAGACGTCCGGCCTTTGGTCTGAGCGTCTCGGTAGGCAAGGCAAATAGGCTCTGCACGGGGGCAAATTCCTTTCCTGCAAAGTCTAGGGCTGGGGATGTCCTGGACAAGGACCTTGAATCCTGGCCCAGGACCAACGTCCGACTATAAAAATCTCTAAAAAGCAAAGGATAAAAGAGGGTCTTCCTTTTCTCTCAAGCCATAATCCGGTTAACCCTTATGCACAAATACAGTAGGTCTCTCAAATACTCAGGTACTCGTAAATATATGAGGGTTAATTATATAGGACGATCACTTCTCACAGTCACAGTGGTGCTCCTCTCAACCATATATGTATGTAATCGCAGGCAATCACATCTAGAGTTTGAACCACAACGCACATGCAATCACATCAAGAATTCAATCAAAAGCTCACACACTACACGGGGTCAACTTCAACCATTCCTTGCACTCATACCCCTCGCCTTAGCCATACAAGCCTCACTTGTGCAACTCTTAAATAAATACTCAGTACTTTTGTTGGATGGCCATTCAATAAAGTTCGGGTGAAAACACAACAAAAGAGTTCAATCACAAGGCTAAAGCCTTTAGGTTGAGTGGCAGGAGTGAATTGGAGTTGAATCGTAAATTGACGAATCGGCAACTGACCTGTTATCAGTGATAACAGAAAATGATCCTTGTAGGATGAAGCTGAATCTAGCCCAAATCCTGAATCAATGGATCAAGAAGGCCTGTAACACAAGACATGTCAATCCCCAAGCTAAATCTATAAGTCCATGGAGAATAGTCCTCATATCACGATCTCACTCAAATCATCCTAATTACCTAAGCCTAAGTTTACCTCCAAGTAAGTGTCAAAAGAAAGGTAGACCCTGGAAGAATCTCCTGTGTATTGAGTGGATTTTCCAGAATTTCCACCTGTCAAAATATAATCTAACTCCTTTAAACTAAGAAAATTTCGACAGCGCTTCCCGTAGAAAAAATGTCTTTCCAGAATTTATATCACCATAAATATAAAAACAAAAGTAATCTTCAACCTTTCAAACTCAAATTTTGTCTAACTCCTTGAATTAACAAAAATTTAGCATCTTTCCCTTTAGAAAATGAGACTCTCCAGATTTTTACTAAGTCATATATAAAAGTCAGACAAACTGAACTTTGAAAAGACAAAATCTGGTTAACTCCTTGGTTTCGTAGAAATTTCGGCAGCGCTTCTCGTAGAGAAGGTGGCTTACCAAGATTTATACAAGACCAAGTATAATAAAAGTTTCCAGAAAATGCAGAAATTGACCTAAGTAAAATAAATTTAGCTCGAAAAATGCAAGAATTGAAACTAACTCTTATCGCTCTAGCACATGGCGAGCCTCTAAAGCAACTACCTGTCAAACCGAAACTCAAACCAAGTAGTAGCCTCACTCAGTCACATGCAGGCCAAATTACAAAGGTAAGTATTCTCACCATCCCAAGGTATACCTGAATCAAATAATAGTTCATGATCTTTCAATGATTCAACCCTTTATACCCTGTTCACATAAGTTGTAAAGTCAGGCCATCCAATCTTATGGAACATGCTTGACTCAACCATTAAGTATACACGAACAGGTTGCACAACTACTATTCTCTTCCTTTGGGCACATGACTAAGCCATTCATCTTAGAAACAATGCTTAGTCGCCCTGAACTATTTAATATTCAAGTTATATATATATCTCTGAACTTTGTGTTCAAAAACTGAGCATAGGACTGAGTCATTCATCTTAGAAACAAAGCTCAGCCTGCCCAAAGTTACCTTCAATTATATTCTTAGTTGTACTCTCTTCAAATTTACGATAAGCTATAGTCAGACCATCCAATCTTATGGAACCCGTGTCTGACTAGCCTGTTTCTAATAGCATAATAATAACGTATAGCCAAATTATAACCTTGGGTTCCAACATGTGCGAGACTTTGAGCCAGACCCCCTGAACTTACAGACGGATCTAACTCTCTGTCAAATTAATTTCTCTCTGAACCATCATGTGCGTGGCATTGGGTCAACCCCCCTGAACTTACAGAAGGGTTTGCCCTTTGCCAAAGATTACTCCCTCAAAATAAAGGCAGGAAGATACTGAGCCACCTGAACTTACAGAACAGCTCGACCCCCTTGTTCAGAAACAGGGAAACTTAAGAAAGCCCAAGAAACAAGGCAACTCAGGATACCTAAACTTATAGAGCGCCCTGAGCTCCTGGAAATCAAACACAATCAAACCCTCACAGATCAGAGCAGTCAGGGCACCTAAACTTATAAAGCGTCCTGACCCTCCATGCAATTCATAGCACCGGGTCTCCCCAAACTTATGGGGACTTCCCAGCCTCCAGAGCATTCAGGCTACCTAAACTTATAGAGCGACCTGAGTGCTCCATGCAAACCCAAAATAAACAAAGCGTCGGGCTTCCCCAACTTATGGGGACCTCCCAACCTTAACGACCCAATCAAAACTGCACGCAATACTGCCTTCCTCCCAACCTTCCCCCCGATGCAACCCCTTTTGTTCACAATCTGCTTTCAGGCAATCAACAAGACTGAAACTGAGGTTGCACACACGTTCCTTTACTTTAGTCTGACTTATGTCCTGAAAGTCAAGCCAAAACTAAATACAGGGTTCACACCATACATTCAGTCAACCATAGAGAGATGTACAGATAAGGGCTATAATTGGGTTTATAGAGGGAGCCGGGAAATCACCACTCAGTTCCCTGCCTCCAGGACTCCTCCTGAGTCCCGGCAGAGTTCCCGCAATCGGTGGGGCGAACCTCCCACAGAGGCCTTGGCGCGGGTTACGGGTTGCAATCCCGCCTGCCGCCTTCCTCTCAGAGCCGAAAGACCAGACTTAGAGTAAGAAAGATAGAAGTAGACGCATTTAGTTTCTCAGATAGAAGGGAGGTGCACTCAGACTCACGCGAGAGGGCCTTGTTTCCTTCACTCCCCTGGGGGCCCCGCAATGGCGGCCAATAAACACGGCAGGTGGCCAAATCGAAATCACTACGCAAGACAACTGGTCTTTGACGCACGTTGAAGCCGTAATAGTAGCCCTCCTTGTAAGCCTTCAAACCGTAAAAGTAACCCCCTTGCTGAGGCTGACCAGCCCTCCAAACAGCAACCTCGACCCTTCCCTCTCTTCTCACGAGCCCACCCTTGCGACAACTCAGGACCAAGGGGTATCAGCCACAGGTAGGCCCGCAGGACCGCCACCTGCCCTCTCGCTGCAATCCTTCAAGGAGGTTGGGTTATACTCAGATCAGCATACCAGTTTTCCTACCAGATTCATACTGCCCGAACCGGCAGGATGAATAACGCGTTAGCCAAGGAATGAGCTTTCGAACTCCGCAGCT